GCAGGAATGTCATCAGAAGATGTTTCTAGGTAGTTTTTCAAACTTATTGCAGTGCACATGTGTCTGCTTACAAAGGTTAAATACAGAGAACACAATATATGCACATATGTGCATGGTATCTATGCATGTATATACAGGACGTGCAAACTGTCCATTAAATGCATACAGCTCCTGTGATCTTCCATAAGAACAGCTCTCAATCCCTCATTCTTCCAGTGTACATTTCAACTGTAGGACATGCATAGGAAGATATCTTTTGGAGAACATAAGAAACATGGACTGTCCAGTATTTAGGGACTTTGTGATTTCATATCTAGAGAAACAGCTGGGACACAGATTTCTGGATTTACACTTGGTTACTGTAAACAGTCCGATTCCAGTAGTTTTCATTTAGGAGCAAAACAGAAGGGAAGGTGTTTATTTTTGTCTTAAAATAAATCAGAGCTGGGACACTCACCTATGACACAGAATGGTTTCCTTGCAAAGCGGAGTCTTCCTTGCCATCCTCGATACCGACAACAGCATCCAGCAGACCAGATACGAATAATAAATTCCAAACCAAAGACAACAATCATGACAAATTCCTGGAAAGGACAAATAAGAAAAATGCCTGTTGCAGGTAACCAACACGGAAGCATAGAGAAACTTATGACTACTCTGTGGGTGTAGCAATCCACCTTGAGCATCTGAAGATCCCAAGCCGAACTTGGGATCATGCTTCCCAGGATGGCTACACATTTACACACAGAACACTGTCTCCATAGCTTTCTAGTGAATAGTCTAAGTCTAATCTGAATAATATTAAGTATCTGCTAAATTTGGCCACTAAATATGAAACTCTGAAGTACTGAATCATACATAAAAATACCAAAGCAAAATACTTGGTGACTGTGGATATGGAGAATTAGACCACAGTTAATTTAGTAGTTACGGTTATAGTTATGGTGGAGGCCCCATCCCTGGAAACATTGAAGATGAGGCTAGATGAACCTTTGAGTAGCTTGATCTAATTTGAGATGTCCCTGCTTATGGTGGGGGGCTCGGACTAGATGACCTTTGGAGGTCCCTTCCAGCCCAGACATTCTATGATTCTATGATATATCCACATCCATAAAATTAGTTCTTAGTTTGAAGGCTGACTGGTTTGGTAGATGTATTCTCATTGTAGCAATATACAGATGAAGTCACTGAGATGATGCAGAAGCATTTAGGAAATCAATTTGTTTAGGTTAAGATACATGCAAGTGTAATTACATATGATGGGTATGTAATTGTTTGTGAGACAGTAAATTAATGCTCACACTAGGCATAACTTTCCCTGGACAACTTGTGAATGAAACCATTTAAAAATCTCGCCTTGCTTGTCTGTCTTCCTTTTATTTCATATTGGAATCTTCTTTAAGACTGTCCATTTTAATAACATCAACCTGTATTTATGCAATTTTTATTGGAATACATTTTTAAAGTACAACAGTGACTCCAGCCAAGTTGCAGCAATAGAGCTTAGAGCACAATTCAGCTTCATATCTTAAGGAAATCTGAATCTCTATAATACACAGTGATATAGTACATACACACTGATATGGAATTGTAAACTTAGATACTCTTCTGGAATACCATCATAAAGTTATGGGTTTTGAAATTATAAAATAAAAATTTGTGTGTTTGCCAAAAGAAGCAGAAGAACACTTGAAGGAGATTCTTAAACAGTTCATCAAGAAGAATAGGATGGAAGGTGTATTTTATTTGTCAGCTGAATATGTTTCCATGTCCAGGAGAAAGCTGTTACTTGTCAGCCAATTAATTTGTTATTCCTGCAGGATAAGGACTAGTGTGGTACTGGTAAGAAAGCACTGCAAATGAATTAAAAAAAGGGGTATTTGCAAGGGTAGGGCTGATCCAGTATTGACTTTTTCCCAATCAATACTTTGCATGTTTTTAGGCTACGACACCCTACAAGCCAATAAGGCTGTATATATCACATATATCAACTAAGGCATTAATTTAGCTGAACAAATGGCATCATTAATATTGTGTCATGTGATGGTGCTTTAATAGCTTATGATTAGTGGCAGCATGTTCAAACACTGTGAATCTAATTTGCTTTTGCTGTCATAGAACAATTTGAAAACAGAGTATTCCTTCTTAAAATATGTCAGCTTCTATAACTACACTGCATAGACTGTTTACAGTCTTCTCCAGTGTGTTCATTTCCAGTTTTGTAAATCCTACCTTCAATGCCTAAATCACAAAAGCAGGATGAGATCTCTCTGTTAAAATGTGGCTAAAAAACAAGTAACTTTTTTTTTTTTTTTTTAGAAAAGAACATATAGAAAAATTAGTGTAATTGTTTAAGGTTTTCTTTTAATTCCATGGATAGAGTTATTGCATAGATTCAGAAAGGATTATGTGCAAAATTGAAAAAGTTCTTGTCATAGTAACAATAATTCTTCATAGTTGACCACCATTTGATACATTTCCTTGTAGGAAATTCTGTGTAGGCCAAGAATAAAATGTATGAGAAGCCAGCTGGAAAAAAGGAAGAATATATATTTTATTTATTTAACTATCACTTTTTTAGTGGTAGTTAAATCGTGAATTGTCAAATCCGGTATACACATCGTTAGATGATGTATCTGAATTTATGGCAGTCGATGGCAGACATCCCGGCCATTTGACATCTGATCCTCCTGATGAACTTTCTTCTTTGGGGCAGGGGTATGAGATTCTGAAGGACAGGAGGCCAGCAAAGTATGAAACATTCTTTGCTTCCAATAAAATAATTTTCTTGTCTATCGTACTCTAGACCCCACTAAGGCCTTTGATGGAGAACTGGTAAGAACAGAAAGTGCTTAACGATTCTGGAGGGACTAGTCTGTAGCTTCAGTTCAGTTAAATTAAAATCACAAAACCGTGGGTAGAAGTTGGAATGAGGTAATTTTTTTTCAGTAGTTTACTACTCTGGTTCGTATTTAGTGCCATGCAGTTTCATATTCATCATCTGTACTGCCATTAGCAATTACTACTTGCTATGCTTGCTCAGTTATACAAAGATGAGAAAAGTCATTGTGTGCTGAAAGCACATTTTTGAGAGTCACTTGTGCTACATGGTGTACTCCTGTCAGAGGCAGAAATCCTATTTATCTCTCACACATATACATGTACTACGAAGAGAAACTTCATGGTGATATATCTATTCTGAGAGAGAAAAAGAACAAAAGGATGTTTTTTCAATTTTCTTTTCTTCTGGACGGTGAGGTAAATGTATAAGACTGTTCTTGCAGAAACAATGCAAAGTATCTTTCTTCATTCCTTCAGAAAAACAGCTACCATTTCTAGCATTATGAATTTATGCATGGTGATATTCTCCCAAAATAACTGAACATTCTGCTACTTAAGTAAATTTTAACAACAGCTGCTGTAGTTAATAGTAAGTCACCTCAAATAAAGTAAATATGTCTCTGTGCACTGGAATGCCAAAAGAACTCCAGATTTTATAAATATTATATATGATTTTCTTCCATGTATAGAAAATATTTGGAAGTTTAAAAATACAGTATAAGCTTTATTAACAAAAAAGACACTGAATAAAATAGAGGTGGGGTTTCGCACTTATTTTTGCACTTTCTGAAACAGGGATGTTTCAAAATTATCTTTATATCCTGGTCACTGCTAATTCTTCAAAGAACAACTGATTTTGAAGGGAATACATATCATTATGAATAAAGTCTAAAGGAAAAGGATTTCTTAGGAGATGTGAATGCATTGAAACAGAACTGTCCATAGTAGTATATATGTCAGTATTGTTGTATTTTGGACTGGTCCAGGTTGAAACTAGAGAGAAAAAAAAACACACACACACCCCACTGTGAAAAAAAGTAATGTTTTAGTAATCAGTGCACTCAGCCACAATGTAGAGTCAAATCCTTGTCAAGGTTAATGCAGGCCAGTGAATGACATAATTATTTTTCCTATAGCAGCTGCACAGTCTTGAAGTTCTGTTTTTTCCATGGACAAAAATTGGAAGGATACATCTCAAACAAGATCAGGCCCTTTTTTTTTAAAAAAAATCATTTGGAATAGCTTATTACAAAATTAAGAATAATTCTAGGCTTTTAAATAACTTAGTTTTAGTTCATTATCAATTGAAACAGAAAATCAGAACATAGTTGGAAAGGCAGGTGACATAAATTACTAGTCCTTATAGGATTTGTAGACTTGCTGTAGGTATGATGCATTCTAGGTATCTTTGTTCTACATATAACATGATGGAACCTTGTTTATTTTGGATTACTTACGGAATATGAATAACATTTACATCAGAATGGGAAAATCTTTCACTGTTGATAAACCTGTCTTCCTTCAAAATTCAGCAGGGCTGTGTTTGAACTGATGAGCAAGTTTAGATTTACCGGAAACCTAACCCCTCCCTTCCAAGGTAGAGCAGGGATGCCTTGGCCTTTGTCATTTCCCTTTCCCCTATCTTGTCATACTTTTCCAGTCACAGTTGAATCTGGTCTTGCACCACAATTACCACAATCTGTAACTTTTTTAGCTATTTAAGCTCATAGTTAGCCCCCCTCAGTAACTGATACAGCAGATGCATTGGTCTTTCTTCCTTCTCAAACCACAGTTCACCCAGACTGAAGCACTTTTCATTCTGAAATGCTTCTGCATATGTAGCTCCAGTTGTCACAGGGAACTGCATATGCCAGAGAAGCAAGGCTGAAACATGCGGGCTTAAAAGATTCAGTAGCTTTGGGCATAAGGAACACAGGTGCCAGTGTGCTCCTGAAGTTTTTTTACATCTGTGTCTACCTTGGTTGCTCCGCCACTTCAGAGATGAGGGTCATAAAAATGGCAGGAAAGGAAAATAACAGGTCATCCAGAGCAAGGTTTCCATTAACAAAAGGTCCTGGAGGACTCTAATGAACAGGGTTGATAATTAATTAAATCAAGCATACGTGGTATAATCTGGCTACAATGAGCAAATTTTTTTTTATTTTTTTTTTTTCCTAATTAGGATACAAGTGATGATTTGTTGAAATTGACTACATTAATATGCTTCTCAGGTAGTTTTAATGATAAGAATTTCCCTAAGCATAACATTATAGCAGTAAAAAGTGGTTTTCATCATAGCTTTCTTGTTCATTAACATAACTGCTTATAAAGACTTTAAATTATTTGCTGCCTTGGTTGTAGACTGTCGTTTCTGGGAATTAGAGCCATTTTCAAGATGAGAAAATGACCAAAGCTGAACACTCTGTGCTGCTGTTCTAGGATTCTTCTGGTTATGTTACAATACATAAATGAGCTGAGGTTTGGGGATAAGAAATGCACCCACAAAACAATGGCTCTGCTGTTATTTTAATTATATTTCTTGTATGGAAATTGTGTTGCTAAGTATTCTAAATGCTAGTGAAATAGGATAACAGAGCTGCAGACTGATGTAAGGAGCTGCCTGCCTTGAGTTTATAGGAGAACTAGGTGGGACTACAACTGACATTGTCAGAAGCCTGGAAAATAGACTAGAACAAATCAAATTCATCCCCTGAAAAAAGCTTTAATAAGGCTAGAAGTGTTT